TGAACAGATGACTTCAATGGTGGCGTAGCAGTAGTATGTACACATGGGGCAAATTTAGACCTAGTACAAACATCCACATACTAAATGTGGCTGGCTCTGTGTACCTTGGGGGCCGAGGTACTTGCAGAAGTGCCATCAGTGGTGCTACGCTCAATTAAGGCCCCTCCCCTCCGAAGGTTAGCCGATGGTTGCATCAGTCTTGTGAACTGCCGTGTTTGGCAGGAGCCTCGTTCATGCTATCGGAATCTGCAAACGACTCGTGTACTTAAGACTGCGACTGGGCCAGTGAACGCAGGCAGTAAACGAGCGACATTCCTCTTTGAGGGCGAGCAAGCAAGAATTACCACTGCCGAGATGCACAGGACTGACGTGTCGTTGGGTACAACGGAGACATGCCCGACGCTGTAATTGGTGCCTGGACGCTTGATTGGGAATGCATCACAGGCAGCCATTTAACCGACCCGACACCTTTACATGAGTGACATGCATTGGATGCGATTTTCGATGGAAGATTCACGTGTTGCAACGAAAACTTGTTCAGCCCGATTCCTTGGACACTGTGCCCGCTAAAGTGGAGGATCAATGATGTCTTTCTAAGTACTAGGTAGAACCAGTGTGACCGGCAGGCAGGCGATCAGGTTTTCTGCCTTGTGCTCCAACTCCAGTGTTTAGGCTTGTGCCAAAGAATTGACGGGTCGCGCCTGGGATGATTGCGTCTCACTGGCCAATCATATTAATCACTACCTAGGTACGTTGAGTTTATTATGTGGTACAGTAGCGAGTGGGTAACAAGACGACATTACACACTCAGATCTCCAACTTTTCCCTCCACCATCCAGCAATAAGCACTTGATACATTCATATGCCAAACAATGTCTAAGTGGCTCTTGATTTATAGAAAAAGTATATAAAGCCGGTAATATGTCGGAGCCGAAATGGCTTGTCATTAGGAGTATTCGTTTTTAATATCAACTTGGGTATGTAAGTGGAGGTGCAGGAATGTAGCAAATTAGGTAGCTATTATGTCTGAAAATGAACGCTCGCTTGATTGACAAATGTTCCGACTGAGTCTTGTAAAGCGGTCAGTCAGCAATACTAATTTTTGATGGCTTCTGATGGAAGTTCAACATCATTCCATATATCTTTACTCTCTTGCTCAACGGCTCGCATGGCCACAGCAACCTCCTCCAGCCTAGCAACGACGTCCAGCACACCGGCATTAACCTGCTGGAAGTATTGGTCGTTGGCTTCTCGACGCTTTCTAGCCAAAAGAATATCGGCCTCGGTCTCTTCTTCTAGTTTGGCACCAAGTCGTTCAACCTCTTCCCCCCTGCTCATCGGCCTGGCACTATTGGACTGCACTGTACTTTTTGCAGCATCCGTGCCCTCACCCCCGGATTTTGAGGCATCTCCAAAAGCTGTTTTGAGGTTGTGGTGGTCGGCAGTCCCTGCTGTTGCCGTCATATTCTCCTGCATAGCTGTCTCAATGACCTCATCTGCTTCGCTTCGGGCCCAAGCCTGTGCAAGAGCGATTTGCGCAGCCCGCAATTCATTAAGCTTACGGTCGTGTTCTGGCCCAAATACATGAGTTCCTCCGGATGCTGATAATTCCACCTCCTGCAATGTGGCTTGCATCTCAGCCCACAAAGCATCTGTCCTGTCAGCAGTTCTTGAACTCTCAATAGATCTAGGGCCCCGTTGTGGACCATTTGCGCTGTGAATGGAGAGGGACGAGCTGCTTGGATTCAAAGGTCGTTCGTTGCTAAGACCGCCCGAAGGTCCTGGAACAGGAGCCCCTGGGGCCAAGATGCCTGGAAGTTCCACATGAGATCCTGCGGGAGACGGATGCAGGAAAAGAGAAGGAGGAGGATCGCGTTGCTGTCTGCTCTGGGTCCGTCTATGATGCGCCATTTCACCGCTTGCCCATAACCATATGTCGTAGAAGAAAACGGCGTGACAGTCTGATATGGAGTTTCAACAGTGAAATTAGATGCTGAGGTAAGCAGGATATTGACGCCTCTCGAAATTATCACTGCTCTGCCTGAATGGTAGAGAAACGCTCCAAGCTCAGGTCATCGAACTAGTAATGTATTACATTGACCGTACCGGTTAACAAATGATTTTAGCACAGGCTTCAAACCATATCGATGATGCTCTTCTTTCGGATTTCTTTTAGAGGAACTTTCAAAGCCGACTGCTGTTATATCTGGATGAGGAACGGCATCTTGAAAGGTGCCAGGGCCCACGTCATTTAGCGTGGGTGCTTCCGGAATAGTGTTGATGCGCACCGATAGCGAGCCACCAGAATTCTCATACGACTTGTCACGTGCCAGAGCGGATCTGCCCACGCATTTTTTCCCTGCTAGGGTCCGAAAACCCTATGAAATTCCGAAGACCTAGCTTAGCCCATCAATTTGCAGCACTCCGCCAAAGATTTACTATCACCAATCGCCGCGATCAACACACATTAAATCGGTGAGTAGGACTCTTCCGCCTCGTACCACGACACCTTCTATCGTACCGAGTATCCGAATACTAATTCGACGAAGCAATCATGGCTGGAGGCAAACCCCGTGGTCTTAACGCCGCACGAAAGTTGCGAACCAACCGCAAGGACCAGAAATGGGCCGATCTTCACTGGAAGCGCCGTGCTCTCGGTACTGCCTTTAAGTCCTCTCCCTTCGGTGGTTCCTCTCACGCCAAGGGCATCGTCCTTGAAAAGGTCGGTGTCGAGGCCAAGCAGCCCAACTCCGCTATCCGAAAGTGCGTTCGTGTTCAGTTGATCAAGAACGGCAAGAAGGTCACTGCTTTCGGTACGATTCCCCATCAATTGGCCAGCACAGCAGGCCCGGATTTGACTAACAATTTCTTGTTCCATAGTCCCCAACGACGGTTGCCTGAACTTCGTGGACGAGAACGACGAGGTCCTCCTGGCTGGTTTCGGTCGCAAGGGCAAGGCCAAGGGTGATATTCCCGGTGTGCGATTCAAGGTTGTCAAGGTCTCTGGTGTCGGTCTGCTTGCTCTGTGGAAGGAGAAGAAGGAGAAGCCCCGCTCTTAAACGAAGAGTTCAAAAAGGATTGGGGAGAAGTCATGTTTGGGCACGAGGAGTCATAACGGCTTGCTTGCATCGGCATTTCGGGTTCGGTTTTTCGATTGGGGAGACAGGTATCTAATGATGAACCTACGAAAATAAAAAAGTCTCTCAAAATCTCAAATCTCAAAATCTCAAGATGAACGCGAGCTCAAGTTTGATACATCTCTCATTATTGTACATGTCGCTAAATGAATGTTCTTACACAGTACAGAGGGTTTTTGCGGTGCAATATACTACAGTCAAGATTCCTTCTCTGTCTCGATATCCAACTCATCGAGTTCGGCAGGTTGCTGATAATAGCGGACAGCGTAATCACCGGCCAGTCCCAAACTCACAACGCCTCCTGTGATCCAACAGCCATTCACAAACCACCACCAACAGTCTTTTACGCTCTTCAGATTCACACGCTTGATCATGATGCCCAGGGTGGCGAGAGCTCCGCCACAGCTTCCCAGGAAGAAAACAGGGCCAGCACCAGCCGCATATCCAGCGGCCGCGAGCAGGCCAATCTGGGTAGCTGCCAGTCCAGTCAACACCTGCTTTGTTTCCTTGTCATGCTTGAGGGCTATACTCTTAATTCCAGCCTTGGCATCGTCTTTGATGTCCATATGAGCATAGATCATATCGTATAAAACGGTCCATGCCACGTTTGACGCATAGAGACACGCAGCTGCTGCCAGCGCGTCAGCGTTAGAGAACAGGTTAACACCGAGGGCTGGAAATCCCATCATTGCACCCCAAGAGAATGTCAATCCCAGGACAAACTGGGGATAATAGGTCACCCTCTTGGCCAAAGGGTAGCTCGCTACAAATAGCAAGCTGGGTATTCCATAATAGAGACACTCGAATGGAAACTGGACCAGTACTCCGAGACCTGCAAGAAGCTGAAATCCTGTGAAGACAAGACCTTTAAACGGGGTGATGGCGCCACGAGCGATGGGACGAAGACGAGTCCTGGTCACCTGAGGGTCCAAATTCCTATCCCATAAGTCGTTTATCGAGCAACCAGCACCTCTCATGATCAATGCTCCAGTAAGAAACAAAGCCGAGGTTCCCAGGACTGTTCCGGGTGTTGCCATGGGCATTGCCATTGGTGCTGCTAGGAGAGTAGAAAAGATACACGGAAACATGAGGTAGTATGTTCCAGCAGGCTTATCAATCCGTGTCAACTCGGCATAGGGGACCCAAGATTTTGGGATTGCCGACAAGATACCATTCTGTGGCGGTTGATAAGGTGGCAACCCTCCATCACTTAGAGTTGAAACATTTGGGGACACAGCAGTTGTCTGAGCTGCTGTCGAATGGAAAGTTGTGACACGTCCAGGAACACCCCATACGGAGTTAGAGGCCCTCAATTTCAGCGTCAAACTCTGAGGGCGGCCAGTTCGCCAGGAGACAACCCGACAGGTTGTCCTAGGGATTGCGTTGAATCTCATGAGGCAAGAAATCTGCACAACTATCTTAGTTAGTGATCTGTTGTGCTTGATTCCGCAATTGGCACAGATCCTACCTGCAAAAAAAAGGTTCAATTGACTAGGCCAAAGGCTTCTCTTTATCTGATTATGAAAACACAATTCTAAATTAGGTAAGAATACAGTTGTTGCCAACCGAAGGAAAATCCGCTTGCCTAGGTGAAGCCAAAGATATTGAATCGCACGTGACCCACCTTATCCTAGTGCCTCAGCGCGTGTCGCTGACTAAAGGCACGATGTTTGAACCATCACGACTTCCGTGTCGCATTCACTATTGTTCGAAAGTGAGGAACGATTACTTCTGGATCTCACCTGGCCCATGACAGCCGCCCTCGCATCCGCCATGCGCTGAGCTTTTTAGCAACCCGACTGCCCTCAGGAACAGCTCCGGAGACTTTGCAGTCACGACAAGCGCCGCCTTCAAGAAATCGCAATGCCTACCTCGCTACACCCTCAAGCGAAATTCGACCCTATCCCACCGGATTTGGATCTCCATGAGCTAGTTGACCATACCGCGAACTTAAAATGGGTGCAACGAGTCTCCAGAAATCAGATTCGTGCGCTTGGTCAGCAAGAATTCGAAAAGCTGATTTTGATGCACGTCATTCTTGGAGGAAAGCCTTTGGTCATTGATGGCTGGGACGCAATCCTGCCCAAACAAATATTCAGCATAGACTGGTTTGAGAAAACCTACGATAAGAAACGTATGTGTACCCTTTCAATCCATTCGTTGAACTTCGCCCTACCTAACACTTGCCTAGAGGAAAATGTCAGAGACCTAGGAAATGGAAGCGATATGCCCATGACAACCGGCCATTATATCCGATCGATGCGACAACTGACTGAGCAATGGTCACCGACAAACTTCCGAGACGAGCGACGTCAGCGACTTTACTTGAAAGACATCGATTGCCCCGTCGAATGGCGAGATGCTCTGGAAAAGGTCATTAACCCGCACCTCTGGTATCTCAACCAAAATGTCTGCAGCAACACCAAGCCTCGCGCTGAAGATGATGATATCTTCGGCGCCGAATCCACTGCTGCTCCATCCGGTGACCTTATGTCAAACCTGCCGACTGAAATGCGCGCCGAGAATCTAATGTGTTACGTCGGGCATGAAGGCACATATACACCCGCCCACAGAGAAATGTGTGCATCCCTTGGTCAAAACATCATGGTGGAAGCTTCAGAATCCAACGGTACCGACCAGGAGGGTAGCTCTATATGGTTCATGACCGAGATGAAAGATCGCGATGTAGTGCGCGAGTACTTTCTTTCCATGCTTGGCCATGATATCGAAATCGAAAAACATTTTGCCCAGATCAATGCCTGGAAAAAGGCTCCTTTTGACGTTTATGTTGTCGAGCAAAAGGTTGGCGACTTTATTTTAGTTCCTCCTTTGGCTGCACATCAAGTGTGGAATCGAGGAACTAGGACCATGAAAGTCGCATGGAATCGCACTACGGTCGAAACACTTGATCTTGCACTCCATGAAGCTCTTCCCAAGACACGACTAGTATGCAGAGATGAGCAGTACAAGAACAAGGCCATGATATATTATACCTTGTCCCAGTACTACAAACAGCTTCAGCAGCTCGAAGAGAATGCCGAGCTTACGCAGATGAGCTTCAAAGGCTTTGGGCAAGACATCGTCAAAAACTCCCCACGAGCGAAGCAGCTAGCAAGCGATTTCAAAAAGTTATTGGAGCTATTTACGGAGATACTAGTCGATGAGATGTTCGCTAGTAAGGAGAAAGATGTGGAATTCATAGAGTTCGACTCCTGTGTTACCTGCTCCTATTGCCGATCCAATATCTTCAACCGCTTCCTCACTTGCAAACACTGCGTTCGGCCTTTGTTGAATGGTGACGAAGATGCCTACGACGTATGCATGGAATGCTATGCCATGGGGCGTTCTTGCGCTTGCCTGTCGGGACTGAAGTGGTGTGAGCAATGGAGCTGGGCCGAATTAGTACACAACCACGAAATTTGGAGTGCCATGGTTATCAAGAATGATGGCTTCGTGGATATTCATAGTTCGCCACAACCATTGGAGATCGCAAGGCAACGGTCAGCCCGGAAGTCGGTGGCACAAATCTGCCAAGAGGCTCTTCGCAGACGGCCATTCAAGGACATCACAAAGCTAGAGGAGGAAAAGCCCCCGAGCGATTCTGAGCCAGATGCTGCGCAAGAGGCGCCGACAAAGAAGAAGTACAAACGAAAGCAAAAGAAGGGCGAATTGCGGAAATGCCACGTCTGCTGCCACAAAGACTACAGCTATCGAGTCCATCAGTGCACGAATCCGCAATGCGGGGAGGGATATTGTTACGGCGTTCTTTACCGAGCATTCGATATGATGCCTCAGCGAGTTCTGGAGGACGAACAGTGGCAATGTCCCAAATGTCAAGGCATCTGCAACTGCGGAGCTTGTCGTCGGTCAGGGAACACCAATGCATATACACCAAAGAACACGCTGCTTGGTCACGACACACGCCCGATCGCAGACGATCGCAGCATCGAGGCTTTAGTCGACTTCCGCATTCACAACCTATCCTGGTTAAAGGCAACGGGCGATGATGGCCGTAGTAATGATACTAAGCGGATGCAAAGGTTGCGCGCGCAAGCCAATAATGCCAAGGCTCAAGACCTGGCAGAACAGGAAGAGCCCAGGCAAGAAGAGGAGGAACAGGCTGGCTTTCCCCAGCCCGATCATTCAGTTATCAACGGCTATGGAGACCAAAGTCACATACTCGATACACCACAGAGAGCGCCAGCCGACCTCAATCATCATGGGGCTGAACAACTTCATGATCAACCTACCGATGTTGACATGTTGGACACCTTACATCCTCCTGAGATGGAGGATATGGACGACTCCCTTTATCCTGATCCATCGGCAATTGCTCATCAAAGAATTGGCATGGGCTACTACGAACAAGACGATACACCCGACAAGATTTTGTTTGACCCCTACCAGGCACCAGATGCCGAAATTCTCGAGAAAGAGAATCGCGAGATCCCAGAATTCGTCAAAAAGTCTATACGCGCTGCAAAAAGAAGGGCCAAGCGCGACAACGAGGACCCGGATTATGTTGTAGGGAAAAACCACCACAAGAAACCACGGGCCACAACATGGCAAGAACCGCAAATTGATATCCTGGATAATATGGACCCAGCCCTTTTCCAAGCCAGTACTTCAGTTCCAGAGGCTGTCATGAGTGTGGAAGAAATCGGTAACCCTCCAGAAAAGGACGCTGAGGAGGCAATGCCAATACCAATGCCAGATGACCCAGCAACCCAAGCTTGCCAGAAAGGTCGCCCTGCGCCCCGGTTTGATGCAAACGAACCAAAGCTGCGACACGCCAAGCCTCGACAATCGTACTTCGAGCCTGAAGAGGGTGAGGTGGACGAAATCGAAGAAGAGCATAATGAACCTACTGCTTCGACCAAGAAGAAGACCCCCCCTGTCAGTGAGGTTGATCTTGCTGCCGCTGCCGTTCACAAGCTCTTCAATCCCAACCCCAATCTCAATAAGGATGGCTCCACTCCTAAGAGACGCGGCCGGCCGCCTAGGAAGAAAACCATCAACGAGCCCAGGCAAAACTCCCCCGAAGAGCTAGAGGGGAATGACAGCCATGTCACAGAACCAAATGACGATAATGCCCAAATGAACGAAAATGGGATTGAACAGGAGCCTCAAGAGCAACCAGAGTTGCCCAATCGACGTAGGAGGCGTGGCCGTCCCAGACGATCAGGTGTTACTACGATTATGGCTAGTAACGTTACTGATAGCGATGAAGAAATAGGGCGTCGAACTAGGTCAAGGCGACAGGAGCCCCGAGATAGCAGCCCACCAGCCGATACCAGTGCAATTGGTAAGGAATACCTGTCCATGGCTGAGCGCCGGAAGCTACAAGGCAAATCTTTTAAGATGAAGAGCCGGAAGTCCAAAGGCACGACCGATCTAGCTCAGGACATGGCAGATGAGACTGCGTCTCCTGCAGAAAAGTCAGTACAAGAAGATATGCCAGCCAAGAGCAGCACTAGATCACCGAAGCCTTCTAGGGCCCCTTCATCTTTGGTCTCCCATGGTCCCACAGTCGTCAGGCTTGGAGATCACGACGATGCGTTCGTGAGCGGCTCTGCCGTTTCGGACTCTAGCAACCCTTCTTCCAGTGATGACGACGAAGACATACCTGCGACCCGACGTGTTACAACACGTGGAAGAGGGCGCGGGAAACGAGGATACAGAGGCGGGCGTGGAAGAGGGAGGGCGTACTGAATGATACTATTTGGCAATGAGTGAATGACACTCAACATCTCTCTACAAGTCCTTTATATACCGCCGAGTCCATCAGACCGGCAACCAGGCAGCTTCATGTTTGCAAGCCAGTGTTTCTTGCTTGCCTGTTTAATGAATATGTATATATGCTAGATCCAACAAAATACCCAAATGCAAGGCACCCTGGTGCAATGATTATTTAGACTTCCAGGGCTTTTTTTTCGTAGTAAACGGCAGAGTTTGATGTGACTCTAATCAGGCCCAATGAATCGTCCACGTGCCATTCAACTGGCCCAGCAGTTTACCCGAGACATCACACCCCTGCGATGCTGCCCCATCGTCAATCCCAAGACGTTCGCTCCAGGTTGGATCCGCCGCTTGATCTGTTGACTGTCTGCGCTTCAGCCACCGATTGCATTTGCCCGGGCGTCATACCAGCAGGGTTCTCGGGAAAACGAACCACCAAATTAATTTGGTTCTCTAGTGCACGACGTGCTCTACGTACCTTAGGCCCCCTGTCGAGTGCCCAGCAGTTCGGGAAGTGCCCGCCAAGGTAAGAAAGTATAGGAAGGTGATTAAACCTCAAGGGAACGTCTATATTTTGTACATCTATATGTACTTCAAGGTCATGATGGATGGCTCCTCTCCGTGTCTCCGTCGCACACACTCCTCTCTCACCCAGATCTAGGGCCGTTTCCATCTGGACTATCCTCCTATCTACTCTGGCGCTGGGCCTCTTTCTCTCACTTACTGGCACAATGGCCCTTCGGGCGTACTCAACTATGGCCGTCGGCCTCGGCCTGCTTATCAGTCCTACTACAGCTGCTGTCGACGGAGGATGGTATGCACCGGCCGAGTCCAAGGTCAACAATCTCACGGAAGCTCTCCACGGCACGGGAACCTATGGCTTCATCTTTAACTCCTCGCATACGCCGGATGACCAGTATGGCGTGTACAACTGGTGCAATATGCCCCATGTGCGGAAGCAGGAGTACATCAAGCCTGGTGATGAGTTCAAGCTTCAATATGTCGAAGTGGTGAGTGTCACCGTGTCGCGAGCTCGTCTAGGTCGAAGCGGAATGAGGAGGATACCAAGCTGACATTTGCTAGATCCATCGCCACCACAAAAGAACACCCTACGCATCAAATGCGTTTCCCGTGGAGTCTTACCAGTGGAACTGTGACGAACAAGGTCTCTACTACTATGGTGCACCCCATCAAGGCCACGATGCCACCAGAGGTTACTGGCAGGTCTTCATCTCCCCAGTCAACCCGTTCGTGCCATCTGGTTGGATCGGAACCTGCCAATTCCCCCAGATCACCGCTGCCGGTCTCGATGATTCATGGCAGCATGGAGCCGACCTCTTCGGGGTGTATCATGATGTGCTGGGGTTTCTGCCTTCCAAGGACCAGGACTACAAATCCAAGGCTGCCTTCCGTGTGACCAACAACGTTATCACGAGCCAGGTCGCAGGCATGGTCATCAACGGCATGTGGGGTTCCACTGAGCCCTTCCCATTGCGAATCCAGGTAAGGACTATCTGCCAAACCCTTCTTCCATGGAAACCAGCGCTAACAAACATCTTGTCCCTAGGCGGCCAATATTGACAGCCTCGAGCCGCAGTATAGCTGCAGCGCGGGATCTAGCCTGTTCAACAGCATCAAATCCAACTCCAACCCCCAGTGGAAACTTCACCTCGATGAAGCCAAGGGACTCTACGCCACTCTCGATGACATCTCCGGTGTCCCGTCCAATGATGACGGCTTCCACGCTTCCTTTGACCACTACTTTGACAACCTCTCGGCTCGTCAGTGCCATCACAAACCGCTACCTTGTAAACTTGTCGATGGCGCCAACAGCACAACGTGCGTGACCCAAGAGCTTGCCAACACAGTCTACCGACTTGGGAACTGGGAGTACAGCCAGATGTACCGCGACAGCTCTGACTCGCTGCGGGCCACCTCCGCCACCTACGGCGTCTGGGTCAGGGAGCTCGCCGCACACCTGAGAACCGTCATTGAGGGCAAGGACAGCCCCATCTACTTTCACAACATAGCACACGACGGGTCGGTCTCGCGACTTCTTTCCATCCTGCAGCTTGACGCCATGGTCTGGCCCGGCATGGGTTCCGAGGTGGTCTTTGAGCTGTACAAGAAGCAGGATGACTCTCCAAAGCCCACCTCAACCGTCATTGCTCCCGACTGTAGCCACAACAACTGCCTCAGACAGGTGATCCGCGAGTCCGAGTCGGCCAAGCCCTTCTGCGCAACCTTCACAGCCAGCTCGGTGACGGAGCGCCCTACATGGCCCTCGAACTGCCGGGACACGGATCAATTGTCTTCGGCCTGCTCCTGCGTGTACGCGGGCTCAGTGACCCCCACCGCTACAGCTACGGCAGCACCTTCGGCCACCCCCTCTCAGAGTGAGAGCGGGTACTACTTGCGAGTTCTGTTCGGTGGCAAGGTTTTCAAGTCATCAAACCCTGCGTTGGGGGTGATGGACATGATTCCTGTTGAGACACTACTGGAATACATCGACGCGGTGGTCGGAAAAGATGCAAGCGCTGTTAAAAGCAAGTGCGATGGCTCCACGCCGCTGTGAAGACGAGACTAAGAAGACAAATGATAACTCCGCAGTAATTGAACCCCAGTGAATCCATCACAGATACCCAATTAGACCTCTTGTGATTATTGTGTAAATGCCGGCCTGGCTATATCTTCGTTATGCTTGACTCCATTGCTTCTCCAGGTCTGACCAGCGCCCAGCTCTCATCGGATCAAGTGTCCTCAACTTACCCAGCCAACTCGACAGATCTTGCTGGCTACTTGGTGCTGCCTTTGTAAACTTATCAATCGCAAGGGTGTACTCCAGCAAAGCCTCGTAAATCCATTTGATATCTTCGTAGTCTTCTAGCAGATCTTTGATTTCAAGGATTTCACTCTCGATGTACGATTTTCGCTCCTCGTCAGTTAGCTCTGGAGCTATCGTCTGATCACCAGGCGTTTCCAAGATATTGGTGATGAGATATTGATGATAGAACCAGAGCGATTGATCTTCAGGTCCCACATTGAGTCCCTCACGGACGAGATTTAGCTCTAGAAATGGAAATTAACAAGTTGGTGGACACATTTAGTCCATCAATAATAAGCCGCAACGTACCTTTTTCAAGGAAGTCCTTCCGTGTTGCTTGGTCCGCTTTGCGTTCGTTCAGCAGGCGAGGGATCAGCTGGCTGCGGCTGTGCCAAGCTGAGAAATTGGACAGATCAGCGTTGATCTTGCTGGTTGTGTATGCAAACTCAGGCTCGGTCATGCTAGAGCCGTTGAGCGTCGAGCTCTCCAACTTGGTAACAACATGTCTCCTGTAGCCCCAAGCATGAAAGTTCCTCGTGTCTCGGTGCAGCATCTTGCTGACAAGGCCCAGCTCCTCCTCCCAGATTCGCCTCGAGGCGGACAAGGGAAGGCGCTCAACGGCCTGATCCAATATCCAGAGGCGGTATTGCCAGATCCAGTAGCATTTTGGAAATTCCATCAAGAGGGGGATGGTGAAGGCCAGCTCGGATTTGATGATGTCCAAATCGCCGGCCCACGATTCAGGTGCTGTACCATTGTTCCCAGTCGTCTGGGAGTCGGGGAGTTGCTGGATCTTTGTCGAGGATGAGGCCAACGAAGCGTCGGAAGAGGTTGTGGGAGTGTCGGTCGCCGAAGAACTCGGCAACGCCTTCGAGGGCGACGACCCAGGCAATGGTCCGGATAATAAGCCAGAGATTAGGCAGCGCCTGCGGACGTTCCATACGGTATAGTACTCGGGATTGATGCGGAGGAGTTTGGATGTCAACTGAAAGGTCTCTTCGCCAAACGATTGATTCACTGCCTGGGATGTTGATCCATTAGCTCTACCCGGTCCGTCCAACTGGTGCGCTCGCCGGGAGAGGCCCGGCGATGCAGGGTGCATGGGCAGGGCGCATATTGTGCGGTGGAAACTCACCTTCTGGCGGACCTGGTTCTCAAGACTTCGGTATCGATCAATTTTGTCCAGATCGAGCTTGCGCTGTTCCTCAGTTCGCGGACCAGAGGCTCGAGCTACACCGTGCTACGTGCAGACGTCAGCCAGACTGCCCAACCCCACCAACAGTGTAAATAGACAGTGCGGCCCCTGCACCCCATATTGGACATGCCAGCTACGAAAGATGGTCTGGCCTGGGGGAGAGGTAGGGTTGTTGGACTTACGCTCGCCATGGTGTGTGCTCTGTGCAGGAGGTGGGTAGTTGAGCGAACCTCCAGTGAATCCCAAGAGCTGAGGTGACGATGTTCGCTCCTGCTTGATGCCGTGGACCTACTAAGGGACCTACTCCAGTGAGCAATGTGGGGAGTGCATCTGCTGTGTCTGACGTCCATGTGGGCTGTCGGTCGCTGTGTGTTAGGCAGCCAACACCTAGCGAGGGTACAAAGGGTACGTACCCGGTAGCTAAAGGTTGCCTACCGGGTATGTCACTGGTGTGGTGATGGGGTAGCTCAAGCGTCAGGGGTCCCAGCTGTGTGACATCCCTCCTTGACATCAGACGGAAAGCCAAGACTACAGCATGAAAATCTGCCGATTTACATATGTGCCTGTATCAGGTCGGTGGCCACCCAGGTCCCAGGGCCATGGTCGGAAACGAAACCGAGGCAAGGCCACCCTGTGGTGAAGCTAGGTAAAAGTTGGTCTCAAAGCACGGGATGTGTGACGTGTTGGCTGTCAAATCCGTCTCGGCAAGATTCTCCAACTCGGTGTCAAAGTTTCTACAATACTATTGATGATCCCTAGGAACAAGATTTTGAGGCAAAACGCAAATTTTAAGTACTCCCCTCCGAGGTAGTTCCGCTAGCAGCAGACATCTCCGATACAGAAATTCGAAACAGAAGTCATCCCACCGGGTAGCCATCAATCATACCTATCTCTTATGGATGGGCTAGTTATGAAGGATTCAACTTCCTCAGGACTAATATATTCATGTAACGA